GTCCCCATATGCTTTTTAATGTCGATATGAAACTGCTGGGAGAGAATATCTAGAGAAGTGGGCTGAATTGTCATAAATATGTGAATGATGCCTAGCTCTACTTTTCATCTAATATGTATTTGAACCAGACTTGGCAGAGTAATGTATTGGATGAGGGATAATAATCTAAGACTCAATTCAAACAAAACAGATATACAATCTGTGGGTAGTGCATCTGTGCAACTGAGTGATACCCTGCCTGCTCTGGGTCTTCCCTTGCCTTAATGTTCTCAGTTTGGGGGTGCTTCTAGATCCATCCTTTGTCCCTAGAATCCCAAGTGGTTTCAGCAGCATGGAGTACTTTTTATAAATTTCAATTGATTTACCAACTGTGACTTACCTGGACAGAGACAGCGTCACCAAAATTATTCACATTCTGGCAATTTCCCAGTTGGGAATGTTACTGCACTGTGTTCTATATGAGACTACATTTGAAATTGGTTTGGAACTTCAATTAATTCAAATTAGAATGGTTTGACTATTCTCTAGAATGACTAATATGTCAATATTTCACCATTTATATTGCCAGTTCATTTCTACCATGTTTTCCCCAAAATAAGATCCGGTTTTATATTTTTGGGGGGCTGCAAAATAAGCAATAGGGCTTATTTTCCAGGGAAACATGATATCAGGGTGACCAGCCCAGCAGGGAGCCCCTCCCCCAGGCACACAAACAAGAGGTGGTGAGCATGTGAGGGCCAACCATGTTCAGGAGCAGCTGCAGCCTGCCAGCCACTTTGGTTGGTGCACTCTGGGGCTGTGCAGCCCGCACAGCACAAGTGAGTTGATTATCTGTCCAACAACAGATGGAGGCAGAGGAATAGGGGAGGAGGCAGGCAATCTGGACATGCTGCATGGACTGCAGGCAAGCTAAGAAACAGTGGGACAGAGTAGACAGGTGGCCACAGGAGGCTTGTCCATCTCTCTCGGCTTGTCTCCTGCAGCCACTGTCCCACTCTGTGCCACCATCTCTTGGCTTGACTGTGGTCCACTCGGCAGATAAGAATCACCTACATTCTCCCCACACCTCTGCCTCCATCTGCTGCTGGTGCCACTGTGTGAAGACAACCCTCCTGCGGCTGCCTGCTCATTCTAGCCTACTCTTGGCTTTCCCTGGCCCACACAGCATGTCTGGATTGCCTGCAATAGCAATAGCAGTAATAGCAATAGCAGTAGACTTATATACCACTTCATAGGGCTTTCAGCCCTCTCTAAGCAGTTTACAGAGAGTCAGCATATTGCCCCCAACAATCT